TCCAGAATACTAGTTTTGGAATAAAGTTGTTTTCCTTATGTCAACTGTCATCTCCTGAGTGTTGGCTTTCAAGTGGCCAGCAACTGGAGCTAGGTCCAGTAACACCAAGTTCGTGCCTTTAATAATTGAGATATTTTGCTGCACATAGTAAGCATTTCCAAGCTGTGAGGTCATAATACTGATGAAAGACACAGAGAGTGAAGAAGGAGTTCAGTATTGCCTGATGGATGCTGGAGTGAGTAAGCCTGAATCCAGGACATACTGCTGCTGTTTATCCATCTGGAGTATTGTTTATATTACAGAAATTAGAAACATAAAAATAGATGGAACAGGAAAGATTAGAATTTGGGAGAAAACTGAAGGCCTGTATTTAATCCATTTCAAGACAAGCAATAGTAATTAGGACCTCAAGAAAAGGCATCTAGGTAAAATTTCAGAGACTCAGACACAAAATTTGATCAAGTATAGGCAATTGCAAGAACAAGAGCTAATGCAGTAACTAATGTTGCAGTCCTTTAATTTGATTCTTTTTAAGTGAGTTCTAACTCTCAAGCTTCTCAGGCCAGGGACTGGCAAAGGGGACTGAATAAAATTTGCTGAATACAGTGAGAAGTAAGGGTGAAGGCAGTCATAGACCAGCAGAACTGAGACAGGAAGGTAGGGCATGGCTAAGCTGGCTGGGAAAGGAGATCCCAGAACACATGCACAGAACAGTTCTCAGAACCCTGCAGGTGGACTTGTCATGGAAACGTGAACATGTTTTTGATAGGATGTCCTAGAACTAATGTCAGGCTGAGGAGTGGATGATACAAAAAGGACAGTCCACTTTGAGTTTTTACCACTGTGTTCTCTCTTGCATGGTTGCCCACCCTCATGTTGTAGGGTATACTTCTTTTCCTACTTTTACTTGGCTCAAATTTACTCTTCAGAGCGTTTCTTTTCTTACCCTTTATAAAACTCTGTTACCACTTGCGCTTGTCTTGACCAATTCTTTGCTCAGGACAGAAAGAACCTAGAAACCACTTCTAGAAAGAGACTCCAGCACCCAAAACCCAGTAGCAGAACCCCATATGCTTTGTACCATCATTCTTCACATCCTTCTCACTGTATATTTTAGCACTATGTATGCTATGAAATTCATATATATATATATATATATATATATATATATATATATGTATATATATATAATTTTTAACTGCCCAAGTTCTCTCTGGATATAGGAATTGACAACTTTGGATATACTCAAGCAAGGTATTTCTCTGGTCAAATTTCTTGGTATATCTTCAGCTTGAGTTTATAAAATTAATATTCTTTTATGAAGTTAAAAGTCTAATGCAGGATCCAGCCTAACACAATGTGGACTTATTTGATAGACAGGAGTGATATTTCAAAGAATCCATAGAACACATTGGAGCATTCTGAAATCACGTTATTATGTCAACCACACTCAACCAAAGATAACAGTGGAAGGAAAAATGCTTAGATAACTTTGACAAGGGTCCTGAAAGTCTATATGTCGGAAGAAATGACAGTTGTTGCTATAAAAGATCGGTGTCAAACAAATATTTTAATGTATCTCTCCCAAAAGATTTCAAAAATGAAGACTTCAAGGGCCTATAAGTTAAGGAAATTATGTGTCAATGGCAAAAGCATAGGATTAACAGCAACAACTCTCATTTGTTTTCTGAGATTAGTTTTCTGAATAATATAGCAACTCATCTGGTAATAAAAGAATTCCTAATATTATAGGCAGCTAAATTAGGTAGAAATTAATAGGCATTGAGACAAGGACAAGCCGTTGAAGAAGTCAATGCAGAAGATGAGAACATATCAAAATTGTGGCTGGAGGCACATCTCAAGAAGGCAAGGTCTCGAGCTAAAGTTACAGTGACTAGTCCCTAAAGGATGTATGGAAATTTGAGATTATACTGCAATCAGTACCACCCAGTCTATTAGTCCAAATATACATCAGATACTTGGGTGTTCTGGGTCACCAGAACACCTGGACCCATCCCTTCCCCAAAATATTCCAGTTTTGGGGGTCATAGATAAGCCGAGGTTAATGGTCCTAGCCATGAGAGCTTGCTACATGCCCTGCTTCCCTGTTGGATCAATATTAGCTAAGTATACTTGTAATCTTACTGGTTGCCCGTAGTTTGACTTATGTTGTACCCAGATTATATCTTTGCTGAATAAATTACCTATGACAAAGGGTCCTGACTCGGGACCCCTCCTGTCTCTCAGAAGTTATTCCTGTTCCCCAGGAAACCTTTCCCACTCTTAATCTCCTCTGTCCTTTGGAATTAATTCTTCTTAAATTTCAGGAGACACAAACTCAGCAGATCTGACATCTAGCAGGTTGGAAGTTCTATTTCTCCTATATCGCTAACATGACAGAATTTTGACTTTCTCAGAGACTTTATGATCAAAGTCAAATCTAAGCTCACATATTCTGTGTCCTGCCTTTCTGAACCTTGCAGGGATGGTGAAATCGCCACTATGTTAGTGGATGACCTTTCTTTTTCAGCAAGATGGGTATGATCATTTCACAGAATAATGAGCCATTCTAGAGCCCAAGATTGTGTTCCTTACTGCCTTTGTAAATTGATTCGTTTGCTCCAGATCCCTTAAATGGAAGGCACACTCTTATTTCAAGAGGAACTTTCAGAGTACATAACCTTCAATTTTGATTTCTTAATGCTGTTATCTTAATAAGAATAAAATGCTGTTGATATCCATAGAAATTTGAAAAAAAACATCCCAGAAGAGTTAAGTATTCAAAAGCACTTTAAAATTGGCCAAAATTTGCTTTTCATGTTTAGGGACTTACGTATTACTGGAACTTCAAACAACCTGCCTGATTCCTCACTCAATCATTTATTTTTCTAGAAGTGGAAGCTCATTTAGTTTTGAGCAACTTAACCTTAAACTAAACATTTAAAATAGCCTGAGGGGATGGCTGACCATTTTTGGCCATGTGTTTGCCTCTTTGCAGAATCAGAGCGCTATTTTTTCCCTTAGATGCAGTTAATTTTCCTTTCATTCTCCTTATGATTGCTACTTAATTGTCACACATTCCTTGCCCTAAAATGAAAATACATGTCATCCAAGTCATCTTTATATGTGCCCTGTAACTTCTCTCCATTATTTCCATCCTTAAGGAAAATCTCAAACTCTTTAATTAGTGTATATTCAAAAGAGTGACAAGAATAGTCAAAAAATTTCATCCATACAAATGAAGGATGAATTTAAAAGTTGAATCTGGTGAAATACAATTCCAGCAGGGTTGAGGTGACTGTCAGCAATGTGACAGGCTGCCTTGGGAAAGAGTGATTCCAAGTGTAGAACTAGAGTCAGTGGATAGACAAACAATAGGGTTAAATAGGGGTGATTTCTAACAGATATTTTACATATAGAACATGCTTCCTTGAAAAGGACTCTTATCTAAGATAAGCTGATAGACCACTTGGGAAGAAATTATGGATGGATGAGTAGTTAAATTTCATGACATTTAAGTTGCTTCCAATCCTGAGAAGCTATTTTTGTGGCATATATATATATATATATATATATTCTACTCAAATTCTTTCATTAACTGTATATTAACATAGAAATAATAATCATATTTCTATGTGCTGTTTATCTTTCCCCTTGACTTATATTCCCAAAGAATGGAATATTTTAATATTGCAGTCACCTTGACAACAGAGGCACCTGTTTTAATACTTTTCAGTAACATTATTCAAAGGCAGTCTATAAAGGGGGAACAATCGTCATCATTCTCTTTCTTTGAAACCTCAAAGACTCTAGGATTAAACATGTACTTTGAAATTAAAATCATTGTAAATTTGCTGAGTAAGAGAACATCAAGTGTACTTAATTCAAAGACTGGTAAGTTTTCACTTAACATAATGTAGAACAAATGTGTTTTTCTTTTCTGATCTGCATGAAAAATTTCAGTAACTCAAAAGCACAGCTCACATTTTACAATTGTCTCTAATTTCATACAACTCAATGTACATTTATTTAATAAATTATTGTGAATCATGGGAAAACAATATACATATAGAGTTATTCAATGTGGATGAAAATGTCAAGAAATATCGCACTGGGGAATTTATCAGGCATAGTTCTACACTGAAGGAACAACTTTCCAATAAGCACACAACTATGACTTAAGGACATTTAGGTTATTTCCAGTAACCTAATTTCTAAGAGCAATAAATAACTTGTATTTCCTATGTACAAGTGGCACATCAAGTCCTTCACAGTGAGGCAGGAGAATAGGGTGTGGGACATTGGCTGGGGAAGTAGGCATGAACTATTAATTACCAAATTCCAGAATACATGTGCAGAACAATTCCCAAAGCCCTGTATATGGACTTCTGGGAAAATTGAAGCAGGTTTTGGATAGGATACACAAAGGACAGTCCCCATTGAATTATCTGTTAATGTTCTCTGTGAGTAGCCTGTTCTTGTCCTGTAAAACATACTTATTTTCCTACTTTACTTAGTCCAATCTTGCTCTACAGAGCTTGCTTCTTTTCCTACCTTTAATAAATATAAAACCGTGCTACTTTTTGCACTTGTCTTGACCAATTCTTTGTTCAGGGCAGAAAGAACCTAGAAATCACCTGGAGGAGGCTCCAGCACCCCAAAACCTGCTAACAACATCAATTGTCATGTTTTATCTTTTTAATATACTAAAGAGTTGTTGATATAATTTTCCCTATTCTATGTCAAGAAACTGACACTTTAGAAATTTAAATATCTTGCCCAAGGTTATACAGTTTACAGAGCAAGAGATCCAAGTTTGACTCTAGAGCCTGAACTCCATTGCTGATATTCTCTGCCTCCATGGCCCTAATGCTAATGCTGTTATTTAGTTTGGGATAAGTTTGTGTAGGAAAACAAAATTTAATTTGCTTTTGGTTCCCAACAATTTCCCTACCATTGTACATTCAGCGCATCACACAAATGTGGAAAGTTACACTCACCCCGTTTATGAAGGAGAACACTGGCATGTCGACGTCCATTTCCATTTTCAACATAACAGGAATAATTTCCCAAGTCACCTTCTTCCACAGAGTTCACAATTAATGAGATAGAAACTTCCTTTTCCCCAAGATGTTCCTTAAGAATTCTAAAACATAAAGCAAAACGAAACAAAAAACCCCACACAAACATACACATACATACACACACACACACACACACACACACAAAGAAATGTAGATGAATCTGAATTTCATGTGAAAATACTTATGCAATCTGCTTTAGATTTGGCTATGAATTGATGTTATGATAATTAAATTATATCATGCCCTTTTTGTCACATTTAATGAGGAAGCTTGTCTTTGTAGATGCTAATGAAGTTGCAGTTAATTTTCTCTCTTAGCAGGACAATCATACTGTCATCATAGAGAGGTGAGAGAGACCTTGAAGAAAAGTTTACACATTGCTTTTCTTTTAAGAAGAAATAATGTAAAGTAAGATAAATTCTAAAGTCTTAGGATGGAGACTTAATTACATATCAGATTAATTTTTTTTAAAAGAAAAAAGGAAAAGAAAATTTCTGAGCTATTTTGACATTTCAACTGAAACCTCTAGCCTGACTTTTGTTAATGATACAAACCAGTTGTCCATTTTTAAAGAAACATGAAATTATACACCTGCAGACTAAAAGTTATCATAGGGATTTAATTCTGACATTTAAAATTAATGGTAAATACTTATTAACCTCACTCTCAAAGGTTTTAGCAATTTCTCAGAGTAAATGGAAAACTTCTTTAAACTAAGATTCACTTTCCCTGCTCTTAATGTTCCTACTTCTACCTTCCTACCTGTTTGATAACCCGGCAGAACACTTCTCAGTGTAGAATTAAAAAGAAAAATACATTTCTAGAACTTTGCTTGAGCACACAAGATACCATAGAGGGCAAAATTTTCAGAAGTTTATGGTCCTTCTTTAATTCTAACAGTTCAAAGAGTATGGATAAAATATACAGTAAACCCTCGAATTATGACCAGCCTGACATACAGACAACTTGGGTTATGACCAGAATTTTAGTTGTAATTTATGACCAAAGTCTTGATTTATGACCTGAATGCTGGCCACTTGCGCTTCCATATGGTCTGATACAGATTTAACCCTAAAAGTGTTCTGAAAAGAACCTTACAACATCCTTTCCTGTGTGGGGTTAATTGAAAAATCCTTGGCCAATGTCTCTCTAAGGACACTGAGATCTGCCTGTATACAGGAGAGAGACTTTGAAGGCTGTGTAGAGGAGCCTGAGCCTTCAGTTGACCACCCTGAGTTACAACCAGGCCTTGAGGATGAATTGATTTTATAAGTCAAGGGTTCACTGTAAGAGTAAAATTTTAAATATGAAAAATAACAGAGGAATATTTTTACTGTACATTGGTAAACTGCCCATCTGGGCTTTCCAGAATTCAACTGGAAAACTCTAGAGTGAGATATTCTTGGATATTTGTTGCTAAAAAGAAGATCCCAGTAGAAATAATCTTATGTGATAGTTTTATGCATTGTTTTCAATTAAAAACATCTTATTCTATATCTTTGATAAAGTTTTAAGATTCTTGACATTTAAAGGGGGGAATCATGGTTTAAATGTATATATATATATATATATATATATATATACACACACACACACACACGCACACATATGTATTTAAAAGATGCAATTTTTAGGCCAGGTGTGGTGGTGCATGCTTGTAATCCTAGAACTCAGGAGGCTGAAGCAGGAGGATCACCACAAGTCCCAATTCAGCCTAATCTACATACTGAGTTCAAGGCCAGCCTGAACTACATAGATTCTGTTTCAAAATAACCAAACAAAATATATTTCTCTAAAATGCAATTTTAGGTAGAAGAATGTTTAAAAGTGATCATTGTTCATTGCTCTGATGTGATTATAACTTAGCATGATGAATGCCTTTTCTTATTTACATTATGATTAAGAATACATATTTGGAAGTTGAGTGTGGTGGTGCACACCTGTAATCCCAGCACTTGGGAGGCTGAGGCAAGAGAATTGCCATGAGTTCGAGGCCAGCTTGGGCTACATAGCAAGTTCAAGGACACCCTGAACAGCACAGCAAGATACTGTCTCAAAAAGCTAAAAAAAAATGTGTATATATATATATATACATATATATTTGTATTCAAGCATAAGTTTAGTCACTATTGAATAATTTGATACTTAAAAGTAAGTGAATAAAAATATAAATACACTGAGAGAAAAGTGAGGCTTAATCATTATGTTTTCAAATAGTATATTATATGTTATAATATAGTATAATATATAGTATAGTGTAGTATATGTTCATTCTCTTGGTATCATTTCCCCTATATAAGTATTTGGAGACTGAAAGTCAGACTAAGAAAAGCAATGAAAATGTTTTTTATGCCCTTTATCACCACATCAGATGTTTTATATTTTACTTGGTAGCTTAAATATGCAAATGCATATAAAAGGAAATGATAAAGACCGTGTTTGGTTGAGTACTCATAATAACTTGATAATGTTCATCTCAACAATTAAAAGCTTCTACCAATGAAAGGCACTGATTTTTCCAAAAATATAATGGGTTTCTATATTTTATAATATTTTGTTCTCATACTCAATATATTCATGAGTGAAACACTCTTTTTTAAACTTTTCTTGAATTCATTGCAAATGACATTCATATTTTGCAATTCCAGAGTTAGTCTCTTAATAGTTTCTTTGACATTAAATATTATAGTATTTACAATAACAGAAAAAACAAAAAGAAAAAAAAACTTGCTTTTTCTCACTTTTTTTTTGCTCACAGAGCAAATGTTTACTTGATGGTACAAGTTAGGAGAAAAAAAAATTTACCTAATATCACTTTCCCAAATTCGATTTTCATCCAGATCTTCAATAAACTTCTCTCCCTTCATCCAGTAAATTAAGGGACTAACATCTCCACTGTACCCAAAGAAAGCTCTGCAGGTTAGATTAGCTGAGTCACCTGTGGAGAGAAATGATGGAAACGTGCTATAAAACTATTTCTACATTCTTATTTTATGCACACTGACAGGTAGCATTGATTTAATGAAACATCTTTCTAAAAGAATACTTTTTCAGACGTTTTCCTACCTTTTTCAAATTTACAGAATGAATCCTTTTTATAGTATGGCTTGTTTAATGGAATGAGGGTTATTTATAAGGTTTGAGAAAAGACCAATCATTTATTTTATAGAATGTTGTATCAATTAGGCTTACCTGATGTTTTGTCATGGTTAGATTGAGGTTATAAATTACTAGGAAGAATACAATAGAGAGGATATGTCTTTTTCAAGGCATAATTTCAGAAGCTATGCGATATTGATAATGATAAAATTTTATAAGCCAGGAGGTAGAAAATGGGTGAATTTGGGAAGTAGAGAGGGAGCACCATCTGTGGCTTGGAAAAAGATAAACTATAAATTCAATAGCCTAAGAAGGTGTTACTAAGAAATGTTTACTTCATAAGGAAAGCATTTTAAGAAAATTAACACATGTGTATATAAAAGTACATTAAAAATAAGTGAATCACAGGGCTGGGGATGCAGCTCAGCATCACAGCGCCTGCCTGGCAAGCATAAGGTCCTGAGTTCCATCTCTTGTACCTCAAAAAACAACACAAACAAAAAAATACCCAACAACAATAAAAAACAAATGAATCATTGATGATAATAAATACAGCGGTTCTGTCAGAGGTAAAATCAACAACACTACTATCCAGATGAGTTTCTTTCACTATGCTGCTCAGGAGAGATCATAATGGTGAATATCAGTTGGCTGATTACTTAATAAGGTGAGTAGAAGTCCCTCCCTAAAAAGCTGGAAGTGATTTTAGTGCCTGCCGAAGGTAAAGTTGATTTTAGGACATCTTATGCCAGTTTACAAACACTTGATTTGCCCCAAACTTAGCCAGTATTACAGAACTGAAATATACCACTATGTACAAGATTTTTTTCCCAGTAGTACCTTTGCTGGTATCTGAAACAATCAGCCCCCACCCCAGTGCTCAGGATTGAACCCAGGACCTTTGTTATGCAAGACAAGAGCTCTAAAACTGAACTACATCCCCAGCCTGCAGTCTTTCTCAATTATATGTTACAACAAATTATGAGAATATTACTAGCCAGTCCTGACAATGCTATGACCTTAAAGTGCAAGGAAGGAGGTTCCTAAGTTTGAGCAGCTTCAGAGTTAAGCTATGAATTGATAGTGAACATCTCTTGAAATTGTGTATTTGAGTCATTCTACAATATAAGCACAGAGAAAAGTAGAATGCACATATATGCACTTTTTAAAAGAGAAGGTGTGTGTATTTTGTAAGCTATTTTCTACAAGTTCCACAAGAAAAACATTTTATTGAAAAAAATTAACCTTATACTTTTAATAATGTTCATTATGTATGAAGAGTTCATAAAACAACTTGTTTTTTAATATTTTAAGATGGCATATGTCTTTTTAGCAGTTTATATATTCACGTTTTTCAAGAGATTTCTCAAAGACTTTGGTTCTCTATATAATAGTCATCTTTGATGACCAGATAAGGTAGGTCCAAGTCCTTGTGGTGCCACACATAGGAAATAGCTCATCATCTATGTAAGAAACAGTGAGCTTTTTCAGTCACTATGACTCACGTGGTCTTTGGTCACCCACTTTATCCTGAGCTCCAGTACAGCATGTATCTACAGGGCCACAAGAGAAGCTAGGAAAACTGCATCCAGGGTTGGGTTGGGCTTATGGTGGGGCAGAGAATATAATTAATGGAAGGAATGAAAGATGATGAAAAGAAAATAGAAAAGCACTCCACGGAGAGAAAAGGGAGCACCAGTAAGAGTAACCTAGGGGAAACTTGGAGGAAATACAGTTACTTCAGAGTTAAGTATTTGTGGGAGGTGGGAGTAAAGGGAATATTTGAGGGAGGATAGAACACTGATGAGGCCATCCAGTGGCAGCTCTATTTGCCTATGTAAACCATGTTGAGGAGTTAAGATTTCCATTCAAACGCAATGAAAAGCTGAGGAAAGATTTCAAGTAGTAGACTAATGTAATCATATCTGCATTCTAAGGAAATCATCCTACTGTATTTTCAAACTTGGGATTGGATCAGAGAGCATGAAAAAAGATTAAGAATATTACAATACTCTGAAATAGCTTAAATATTCACAACAAACATCAGTTTTTAATGTAATTTCTTAAAAAGAATGAAGCAAAAGTGGTAATAATGACTGCAGAACGTTATTCCTGCTAGTTAGTGTGATAATAGGAAACATCTCAAAGCAAGATTAGTAGCCTGATAAGACAGAAAGTATATTTGATTTATATAAGTTATATATGACAGATAAAAAGAGAGAAACAAGCAGAGACAGAGACTGATTTTGGAGAGCTTCCAGCTGCTTTAAGGAGGACTTAAAATCAATCCGCGGGGGTGCTGTTTTGCGAAGAGGTTTTTCTTAATTGTACCAATTTGTACGACTGAGAAAAGGGTATTGCTCCTCTTCCTGTGCATAGCTCTGCTAGTAGGCAGTTCTCCAGGAGTCCAGTAGAGTCAATCACAAGAAAAGGCCAAGTGGTCAAACTCATACCTGAGATTCTACCCAAGGACCTAAATACTGTTGGGAAAAGCTAGGTCTACCCGGTACTTTTCATTTGGGAAATAGTAACTAATCTAGTGGTGGCAAACCTCTGACATGGGTGTTATTTGTTTTTCTCTCACGACAAAAGATGGTAATGAATGAGTTGCTTTTTCTGAACTAAAGCCTCAGTACTCAGGTTTTATTGCAGTGTTTGCACTTTGGGGTAAATAAGTGGGTTCTGGGTTGTAATTTGGGACTCGTCTCTAAAAGGATCACTATCACTGATCAAATGACCTCAGAGCCCAACTGTATTACACTGTATTGAAAGGAGGGATGGATTATCATCCCTTCTCCACAGCTAAGTACGAGGAGTTTATAGAAATTTAGGAGGCTGAGAAGAGGCAAGCAAGAGATGATACCTATCCACCCAATAAGGACAAATAAACATAAAAAGATTGATAAAGGAAAATAGTAATTATGAAAATACGAATAATATGATTGTTTTTACATTAACATAACAAAGTAGTATATGCCTGTTACATAACAGGTTTTCAGTACCCAAATATTAAGAGTAGTACATTCATGATTCAATTCATATTCTCACATTTTTTAACATTATAATCTTTGGAATTTTTTTTCATTTGCACCTAGCACACAGCTCATCTATTAAGTTCCAACTCAAATAACACCTTCCTGAAAAACTGATCTGCCTTTTCAAGAAATACTCAATTGCTCTGACCTTTCCTTTCCCATATCTCTTTAAACATGCTTGTATTTTAGCATAAGTAATCCTTGCAATATTTGGTTTGCTTGCATATCTAACCCTGCAAAGAAAGAAATTATGTCTTTTCCCCAAAGAAAGAAATTATATCTTTATCTACATTTGTATTACAAAGAGCCCATGAAATGTGTTGAATCTATTAGGAACTCAATAAATAATTTTAAATTAATAATCTGTTTAATATTTTTTGAACTTGCACTTCACTTTTTTCCATTTTTAAAAGCTTCATTCATTAAAGTCATCAAACCTGCATATCTCAATAGGCCAAATCTACCTTATAAATGAGCTTTCACATTGCAAATGCAGAACTTTCTCATTCAGGTGTTATTTCAGGGGTTTGTTGCATACCAGCTTGCAAGAGTTGAGTACAAAATTTTCAGAAATCCTGTACTTGGGTTGTTAAACACAGTTAATAAAATTAAATTATGGGCTAGGGGTGTAGCTCAGTGGTAGAGGGCTTGCCTAGCATGCATGAGGCCTTCAGTTTCATCTCCAGCAACACAAAAAAGTTATAAGAACATTATTAAATAAATTATATTAAAGTAATAGATACTCAAAACTGAAAACTTTCTATTTATTTTGCCACGTTGTACTATTACCTATGATTCCCAGATTTACAACTATAGTATCTGTATGATGAAAATACTATTTAATGGTATACTACTGTACATCTATTTCCCACTGTATATTTAGTAACATTTTGTTGGAAACTTGAAATTAGCCATGGTAGGTGTGTTTGTCAAGTGACATAAATCAGGATAACAATTTATTATTTTCTTGACTGTCTATGCTTAAGGCAGCAATGGAAGAATTTAAATAATGGGAATTAAGCTAAAAAGTCTATCATGTGTATAGCTGTTAAAGTGGGCATAGTAAAAGCATCAAGAAAATATTCCACTATAATATTATTCATCAAAAGGAGCCCTTTACATCACTGAGAGAAAATTGACATTCTGACCTATAGTTTCACTGTTTTACTCTATTGCTAACATGAATAAAAATATCGATCTCATTCATGGAAGAACTACATTTGCAAAGCTAACTGTTAAACATTTACTAGCATACCACTCTCTATAAAATTATTTCTTTAAGATGTAAAAATGCATATTTTAAAAGCTTTATTGAGATATAATTCACATAACATAAACTTACTCGTTTAACCTGTACACTTCAGTAGTTTTCAGTATAATAACAGAATTGTGCAACCAGGACCACAATCAATTGTAGGATACTTTCATCACCCCAAGAAGAAACATTGTATTAATTAAAAGTCACTCCCCTTTTCAGCCCCTAGCCCCCTCCTACTTTATTTCTATTTTCTGTCTCCACGAACATCTGGTACAATGGAATCATATTTTTGTTTGTGTCTGATTTCTTTTACTTAGCTTAATATGTTCAAGATTCATAACATGTTATAGCATCTATCAATATCCAGTTCTTCTTTATGGCTAAATAACAACCCATTCTATAGATTTATCATATTTTGTGTATTTATTCATCAGTTGATGAACATTTGGGTTGTTACCATTCTCTGACTTTTATGAATATTGCTGCTTAAATGCTACATCTATATGGACATATTTTCATTTCTCTTGGAGGGAAATTGTGAAATCA